ATGTGTTGGCGTGAGTAGGCCCTCAACTTCTGAGTGGCCACACAGGAAGAGAATTTGTACATTTGGAGGAGTTGGTTTGGATGGCTTTCAAGGAATCCTCCAGACCTGAGATTCAGTCTGGGTCTGTTGAGCAGACACCAGGTGTATTTGATTATGGGTAGAAGCTTGGAAGGAATAGAGTGTGGTGGGTGGGGAAGTACGTGAGACTTGTATCCACACATATCTGTTCTGTCACAGGGAGAGAGTGTACAGTCTGGAAGCTGAGGAGAAAAATAAATGCCTCATCTCACAGAAGGAAAAGACCATATAATATTTACTTATGAAAAAAATCGAGCATTTGGTTATATGAAAAGCTTGAGAATTTTAATGATTGCCCCCAAATTCAGCCCTTTATCACACCGATTTATTTAGGGATCTCAAGGTTAATAGTATAGATATGTCCAGGTACAACTTTGTCCTATTTACATAAAGAAACATTAAAAATCCAAGATATCCTTTGTAACAGAATCAGAAGTTTAGTAGTTGAACATAACAGAAGAAAATGCAGAATAGCCTACTAAGTCTCCCATTTCTTTCCAGCAAATTGCCAAAGAAAGCGGACATGGTCGGTGACCTTTTTTAGAACTCTGTAAGTACCAGACTGCTTGCTGATGGGTCAAAAATAAGAAAGTTTGGTTTTTACTACTTCAAGAAGCTTCTAAAGAATACCTATCTAGTCACCATAAAAGCAATATCTTCATAATTCAGCCACTGATGAGAATTCTCTCAAACGAGAAAGGCAGACAATGAACTGGGGTTGACTTCGGGGCTATTAAAAATCCTCTGTCAGTTTAAATCAATAAGGTAAAAATGATGAATAGCTATTTGGTTATCAGCATAAAAAAGAAAAAGGAAAAAAAAAAGCTAAATCATAGCAAATGGAAAAATGCTGACTATGGATTCATTTATCCACTGTACCTTAGGCCAAATGGACATTATATGAATCTCTCCTTCAAAAGGCTTATAATAAAGTGCACCAGTTCATTGAGAATAAGTACAGAAATCCAAAGAATTGAACATTCGTCCGCAATGTTTGGGGCTGTTCATTAGGGACCGAGTCTGAATAACCAATAGCAAAGTCTCTTTCATTGCAGAAGGTAACTGTTCCATCACAAGTGAAGGCAGCTTTTTACATCCCTTAAGTGTTGATGATAATGGGATGAATTCTGGACAGAGAAAGTCACACAAGTGATTATACATATGAAAAAAAGGCAGATTCTGGGGTAGAATTCCTGAGACAGACGGACCCTGGGTCTGATCTTATCGAGAAATTCTTATAGTCTTTTTATTTTGTTTTGTTTTTCCCTGGAATTTAGTTCAATAGAAGTTTCTAAAAACAAACAGAGAACTCAGAATGAATCAGTCACTTGAAAATAGCCACAGGCTGGTGGGAAATGGGCTTCTGTCAGTCCCAGGTTCAGCGAGGCACTTTGAACAAACCAGCAACTGCAGTGACAAGACACAGTTTTCTAAGGGCGAGATCAACCAACAATGTGATCACACCCGTCTCACCAAGAGCCACTTGAGAAGTGAGACAAACGATAAAACAGATACAGCCTGAATAGAAAAAGGTGCCCAGATCTCCACACACACACAGTGTTCACAGCTCTTTTGTTTCTTTTACTGGGTCTGCTTTGACTTTTAGATACTAGTTTCCATTCTATGTTCCACGGGACTTTGGAAGTCTGCCAGCATCTCTTTACGAGGTCCTTTAAAGTGGGGACATTTTCAGTGTGCCTCGCTTCTGTCATTTTCAGGTACTTAAAGTGTGGCATTCACAGAGCATGGATATGATCCAGAAGATTCCACTTCCTCTCCGGTGGTTTGATAAGCTGTGATTCAGTTAGCGGATGCACTGGAGGCCAGTGACAGCACAGAGGAGGCCAACAGTGCTGATGTTTGACGGTGTGTGTCAATGACTTGGGGGTGGTCAGCACTGGGTGGCTTAGGAGGAGAGCAGGCTACATGAAAGCTGATGACACTGACACGTGTTTTTGACCGGAAGACCCACGAGAAGTTCTTATTGGACCACGCGGTAAGCGTAAGTGTTCTCACAGAGTGAATCACTGTTTAAAATCAATGCTTGAGCATAAATAAGGCACTAGGTTGATGTAAGTGGCACAGGAATCTAAACTACGGTCTTGAATGGTGTTTGCATTCTTTTTCCCCTTTGGGAAATAACTCCTGGAATATTTATGGAGGAAAAGAAACTGGAGGTTAGGTTCCTCCGAATTTCTGGCAAGGACATCTGTCAGATTGTCTCGAATTAAAGTGTTTTTGTTATGCTTTGCTTTTTCTCTTGGGAAATAACTAGTGGAGAGTGTGTTGGGGAGGGGGTGGGATAGAAAGAAGTTGTCTGTTTTGCACAGACACAGAGTCGGAAAGAGAGGAAGGCCACTTTTAGGAGGGTAGATAAAGCATCCAAATGCAAAAGAAAGTTCTGCCAAATTAAATGTTCTGTTAGGAGACATGGGCCAATTTATGACACTCTCTGTTCAGGGGCTGTTTTCCTGGCTGCCTGGAGGCCAGTGCTGCCTCCTGAAGTTGGCGACCTGGCTGAGGGGGTAGACCGCTGGGCCAGGGAGGGCTCTGCTGCTGCTGGTGCTGGTGGCACAAAGTCCCGGGACACAGTTCCTGGTGCCACTGTATTGATGGGCTCAGAGGGAAATGGCAATGGTGGCCATTTTATAAAGGATGCCATTCTCTCCTATCACATGTGGAAGTGGGGGACAATGATAGGGGCCCCATTACGCCAAGCCAACGCTTGTCCCACAGCTGTGACACACATTCCGGGTGATACTTGAGAACCAACAAGGAGGCAGCCACACCTCTCCCCTTGGATGCCCTTTTCAAACCTAGCCCCGGTTGCTTTTCTTTGCCCAGAATGGAACTTGGTATGTTTGTCTCCATGCCTACTCTTTGCTTGTTCTTTTTTCTTCCTTTTTAAAATAATTTCCAAAGCCACCTTTATTTTACTGAGATGATTGGCAGGCTAGCCACCTACTCAAATAAGGACTGGGTATACGGTCAATATTTAGAATCTTATGGCCTGGCCATTATTGGTGAAAAATTTTGTTAAGAATCGTGCGCTCTCTCCCAGCTCTCTTCACTGACTGGCCAAATATCCAGTAAAGCCTATCTTGGGAGCAACAAGAAAGGAACTACGTGACCACTAGCTGACAAACAATGGCCCTTCCACAACCAATCAAACCCACTGGATGAGATTCATAGGTTCTTCCATGACTCTACCTGGTGAAATAGAAAGCAAGTCTCTGGATACACAAAATAATAGAGATTGTTTTTCCCTGCTCTGAAAACACACGTATATGCCGGTCCTAAAGAACGATCCCCAGCACAATGTCTGGCTTCGTGTGGATGTTATTTATGCCGAAGTGACCCGACAAAATGCGCCATCAAAATGATGATGACAATCCTAATCTCCAGCGGGGTTTTTGAGTTACTGTGTTCACCCACATTTGCAGCTGGAGGCTATGGATTTGTTTTCCCTTGTAGGTTCTCTGGGAGAACCTGGTATGGATTATATCAGGATACCACAAAGATTATTTCAAGAAAAAGATTATACATCACAATGCTTAGCATTTATATAGGTTCTTTTGATTTCAAAACAAGTTATAAATATTTCCTACCGTGACAACATCCACGCGAGGTAGGTGAGTATTACTGTCCCTACGTTACCAATAGAAACACGAGGCCAAGGAGTGCAGGACTCTGTCCCAGGTCCTAGAGAGTCAGGAGCAAGCTTAAGACTGGCTTCCTGATGGCCACCTGCTCTGAGCTCCAAAGAGGCCATGCCTGTCTCTAGTGTGGCAACAGTCTCCATGAATATAGGGTTATATATTGTATAGATATAAAACAGCAACACACAACGACATTCTAGAACAATAATCCAATATTTTTGTTTCTTAGTAAAATATGTTAAGCACAGTATTTAAATTGCATTTCTCTGAAAAGCATTTGGTATATTAAATAGCTCTATAAAGCTTTGCTGGCATACCCTTAACAGCATAATGAATGATTCTGAAGAAATTAAAGTCCACAGATGCATAGAGATCTTTCCTTTATAATACCAGAAGCTAAACAAAAATGTGAAAAACTACTTTTATTCTCATAATGCAGACTTAATAGCTTGCTGGATATTAGCAGGCAGCTACATAATTTTTCTGAGCTTGAGAGAAAAGATACATATTGCTGGCTGTGGTTTTAAACTACCAATTTCAGGGGGAAATGTGGTTGAAAGGTGAAAATTAAAGACTGCCATCTCCATTAGGTATCCCCTCTGAGGAATCCCTACATTTCCAAAAGATGCCGTCAGACTCGGAACTCACATCGAGGCGAAGACAGGGGCGCCGCTAATAAGAACATTTTCTGCAAGGAGAAAATGATACAAAATAAATGGAGTGGTATCAGAAGAAGATGAACAAGGAGGCGAAAGGGTGCTTTTCAAGAGCGCTGAGGCTGGCATGAGATGTCAGCTGTTCATGCTCAGACGACTGTACAGGTCTTGGAGACGGTTTACAGAGCGAATACTTGGCTCGATCGGTCTCTCGGCTGGGGTGAAAGCCTCACTCACCTCGCTAAGAAGGGTGTGAAAGCGTTTACCTCATGCTAAGCTTCGTAAGAATGGAACAGGTAGGGCAGCAGAAAAAGTTCTAAAACTAGGAAGGAAGAGGCATCAAAGTCTTAAAATCTGTATGCAAACGTAAAAACTAACTTCCAAGCTGAAAGGACATTCTCTGTCAGGAGTCACAGGTACAAAAAATCCTACACTTAGTGTACACGCCGCTAAGATATTGTTAGATAAGATATTACATGGCGTTCGGAGAATATTTCTTTGTGAGTGTGCTTTTTTCCCTAAAAAAAGACATATTAAATTGTTTTTCTCTCCTCAAGTCCTTTATATAGAAATAGGAAACACGAGCTGTCCCGGCAGTCCCTTCACATTATACGCTGGCGGGGTCCTTGGTGCTGGCACCATACGTGGCACTTTTGTTTGAGGCGGGTTTGAGTCTGAACAGGCTGGAACAGTTAGGCTGTTTGGTCGGCTGCAAGGTCCTGGCGTAGGGCGAGTACCAGTCCCGCTCAAACACATCCTTAAGCTGCTTAATGATGCTCCTGTTGTTCCTCACATCTGCCTGGTTGATAACGAGGCCCGTGCCAGCGTTCTGGGTAAAATCGTTCCCTACCCAGTCAAAATTGCCTGCGAACAAACAAAGGAGACAGTGGCACGGCGTTAAGATCACTGGGGAACATTCCGCATTTAATGAAACACACAACAGACTCTATTAAAAAAAAATAATGACAAGGAGACTGAATTGTGTTGACAGCTCAAAAAAAAAAAAAACCTCCAAGAGGCCTTACATATGGCATATTAATATTTGCATATTATTTTGGCATTTTCTTCAGCTTTGCTCAACTTGAAACTCAAAACAAGGAATCTGCTGGTTTTTTTTTTTTGTAAATGTTATTTCTTATTGACATTCACAAGACACACTAAATACAGCAATATTGAAAATATATAGGAATACACTTAAAAAGCCTGTGAACAATTACTACCTTCTCAAAGAGACGACATCTAATCCACATGTACAAATGAGGGATTCTAATTACAGTGCCCAGAAGCTTGCATATTGAAGAAAAAGCTGAAGGCAGAGAAGGAGAACCCGTTCCTATCTGGATACACAAAGCCCTCCTTGCCTGGGCTGTAAATCATTTCCTGGGTCCAGGATCTGGCTCCTTGGCCCAGGCATGGAGGCAGTTGTGATGACGGTAGGCTTCCCAGCACGACTGTCTGGTGATACTTGGTGGATTAGTTTGCTAGGTCTGCTGTAACAAAGTTCCACAGATTTGGTGGCTTACATGACAGCAATTTGTTGCCTAATAGTTCTGGAGGCTAAAAGTCCAAAACCAATGTGTTGACAGGGCTGGTTCCTTCTGAGGGCCTGGACAGAGAATCTGTTCCAGGCTGCTCCTCTGGGCTTCTACATGGCCAGTTTCTCCCCTGTGTGTCTTCACATTCTCTTCCCTCTGTGCATGTCTGTCTCTGTGTCCAAATGTCCCTTGTCTATGAGGGCACCAGTCAAATCAGATCAGGGCCCATTCCGATGACCCCATTCTAACTTGATTATTACCTCTGTAGAGATCCTGTCTCCAAATAAGGTCATATGCTGAGGTACTGGGACTTCCAACATATGGATTTGGGGAGGACACGGTTCAGCCCATAGCAGGTAGTAAGGTTGGAATCTGTCCAAGAAGGGACTAATTGTATCTACGTCACTCACATGTAGTTCATCTTCTAGGCGAGAGTAGATAAAAGACAAGACGACCCCAGAGTGCCATATGAATCTCCTGTCTTGCCATCCATCGGGGAGAGGGTTCTAGCAGGAGAACAGTACCAATAAATGCACATTTACTGAGTGTCCAATGTCTACCAGGTACATGGGGCCATGTTATTTCTTCTGACCATTTCTTAGGGACCATGATATAAACCAGAATATGACAGTCCCTGACTTCAAGGGGTCCAGGAAGGAAACACAATGATTATAATATAAAGAGATGTAGGTATACAATGCCACAAGGGTAAGAGAAAAAGAATTTCTAACTCTGGCTGGATGAGTCAGGAAAACATTTTATTGAGGGTAAGGTTAAATTCTTTACTACACAAATGGCAATTGACGGATGTACAGAAACTCATTGCTTTGGAAATTAGAAAGCCACACCCCCAAAGGGATGTGGACAAAAATATGATCAGGATCTTGGAGCATGAGGTGGAAGAGTTAGGGATAAAGTCACGATATAGGGGCCTTAGAGAGGGAGAAGAGCTCTCCTTTATTAAGTGCCTAATATGAGCAAAGTGCTAGGCTTGGCATTTATGTCCATTATCTCACAGGGTTGGTAGGATTTACGCCTACTCCACAGATGAGAAGCCTGAGGCTCAAAGAGGTGAACAGATTTTCCTGTCACATGGCTAATCAGTGATGGACCCAGATCTCCACAATGTATAATACAATAAATGAAGCAGTGTCCTCACTAACGAAGATTTAGCTGCATCAAGACTGACAAAATGATTTCAGAAATTACCACCAGCCTGAGTCTGGTCTAAGCTCCCAAATCTGTGCTCCTCTTTGGTCCAGAGCTGTTTTCATAAAGAAAACTGAAGGCTTTTTAAGTGTAGAGCTTGATCTCCAGTCCCTCAGCAGCTCTTCAGCCACAGCTGCAGGGATATTTGCTGAATAAGACAGTAGGCATCCTTGACCCAAGGCTGGCCTGGCAGCCATCTGTGGGGGAAGAAACATCCACAGAGAGCTGATAGGTGTTCCTTCACAACGCTCATCCTGTGGGCCCCCTGCTGCTCTCTGGAGTCCCCACACTTTTTCCATATGGCACCAGAGGAGGCTGTTTCCCTGTCTCTCATGAGTTTATTCCTCAGGGCCTAATACCAGGTCCCTAAATCAAATATTATCAGCATAGAGAAAGAACTCTTCCTTCTCTTTTCTATCTCTGTCCTCCATCTCATACTGTCTCCCTGCCATACCCCCAAACACCACACCGACACTATTGATAGCTTCATGATAGACATAACTGTGGATGAATTTTTACTGTTATAAATTAGTGAACTGTCTGCCGAATGGTTCACAATACTGAGTGGGAGTCTCTTTGCCAGTGGTGTGTTTCTGACCACGTGCTCTCAGACACATGGCCACGCTCAGAGGCTCTGTGCCAATGCTCAGCGCCAGCTAAATACAGGCTTGGACTTCTTAGACTGGGGATTAGTAGCTGCTGCAGGTTAAGAGTTATTTTGGAGCCGGCTGGCAGGCAGTGCCTTCTATCCATTCCATCAACGGAAGGACTTGTGGATAAGACCCTAAAGTCTCGTGCCTACAGCTGAGCACCAGGAAGTGAATTCATTACATCAATACATTATCTCCTTCAATATTCACTGCAATCCTATGAGGTGATAATACAAAATCCATTGTACTGACGAGGAAATTAAGGCGCAGAAAGGTTAGGTAATTTGACCGAGACAGGAGTGAAAAAAATACCAGAGCCGAGTTTCAAAGTCAGCTCTGACCCCACAGCCCACCCTTAACTTCTGTTCCATGTCACCTCCAAGCCTAAAGGCCAACTGTGCATTTTCCCTGGGGACTTCAGCATCAGCTGCTCAGCTGGAGCCTTGGACCACACTGAACTCCACTCATTTGTGGACCATGCTCTCTGAAGAGCACAGACGTGGAAATGTGAGGAGAGGGGAAGACAAGGTGGGGGAGAAGTGACAAGATTTTGGAGGCTTATTCTGTGAGATTCAGCTTTTCCCTTCAGCACAGTGATGGAGCCAAGATCCTGCACCTTTGATCCTCCAAAGCTTTACTGAGGTTCTTCTCAGGAACTGCAGCCTGAGGCAGCTTTCCCAAGGTCTACAGAGGACGTCCTCCACCAGTGTGACCATTTCCCACCTTTCACTTCCTCATGGTTTGGCTAAACTTCAGAATCATGGATGTGCTCCAATATTTTCTGGGACACTGTTGCACCCAGGCCTGAGACTGCCATTTCTGCTTCCAGAATGCAGGAGAACTGTAGTGTCATCCCCAGGTATAGACGAGGGTATAGATAAGCGTTTAGACAAGCTCACTGGGAAGGTGTATGGGCCTTCAACAAGATTTCTGAGTGCCTTCACCTAACATACCACTCCATCAGCCCTCAAACAATTCAGACCAACTTCTGGACAAATTTGCCAAACTAGACTCAAATACAGTCTACAGAATTCAAGGTTAGAGAGAGGACACCATTTGGGGAATCTTCTGAAAGTCCTGCAAAGATTTAATGAGCTATAATTCCATGCAAGGATTAGTGTGGGTTTTTCTTAATTTTGCATTCTCAGCAGGTGTCTGAGTGACGACTTAAGAGATTTCCAGAACATGCTGATCATTATTTAAATTATCAATGAATTTTCTCTCCGGATGCTCTTTAAATATTTTTATACAATAACTATGCTTTGCTCTAGGGAATTAATGTTTTGCTCAACTGCTGTGTGTAAAATGAACTCATTTAAAATTGAATTATAATAGGGCTCCAGAAATAGACCCACGTAAATAAGTCAGCTGATCGTGAGAGAGGAGCAAAGGCAATCAAGGGAGCAAAAGTAGCCTTTTCAACAAATAGAAATGTTTGCCAGAATAACTGGACATGGGCGTGCGGAAAGTGAATTCTAGACACTGACCCTTTCACAAAAGTTAACTCAAAATGGGTCACAGACCTAAATGTGAGATGCAAAATTATGAAACTCCTGGAAGATAACAAATAAGAAAATCTAGATGAATTTGGGTTCAGTGGTGAGTTTTTAGATGCGACACTGAAGGCACGATCCAGGAAAGAAATCATTGATAAGCTGAACTGCATTTCAAGTTAGGAAGTTTACTCCGTGAAAGACACTGTCAAGAGAATGAAGGGATAACGCACAGGGTGGGAGAAAATATTTGCAAAAGATGCATCTGACAAAAGATTGTTATAATTATACAAAGAACTCGTAATACAGGTTCTCATAAGAAAGAAAATGAAAAATAAGAAAATGAAGAAGTAAGAAAAAGAAGAAAATGAAAAAAGAAAGAAAATGAAATAAGAAATAAGAAAGAAAATGAAAAATATGATTAAAAAATGGGCCAACGACCTCATCAAAGAAGATACTCAGATGACAAGGTAAGCATATAAAGAGATGCTCTACATCATATTATGAAGGAAATGCAAACTAAAAGCAATCATTAGCTACACTACACACGTATCAGAAGGGCCCACATCTGGAACTTGGACAACACGAAACGCTGGTAAGAATGTGGACCAATAGGAACTCTCGCTCACCGCTGCTGGGAACTGACAACTGTAGCGCCACTTTGGGAGACCGGAAAGCTCACCGCTGCCGGGAACTCAAAATGGCAGAGCCACCTGGGGAGACAGGCAGTTTCTCGCAACACTAAACATAATCTTACCATACAATCCTGCAATCACGCTCCTTGGTATTACCCAACAGGGTTGAACACATGTCCACACAAAACCTACGTGTGGATGTTTATAGCAGCTTTATTCATAATTGCCAAAACCTGGAAGCAGCCAAGATGTCCTGAAGGTGAATGGGTAGGTGAGTGGATAAAAGAACTGTGGCAGATCCAGACAATGGAATACTATTCAGTGCTAAAAAAAATAAGCTATCGAGCCATTAAAAGATACAGAGGAAGTTTGGGGCACCTGGGTGGCTCTGTCAGTTAAGTGTCTGACTTCGGCTCAGCTCGTGATCTCATGGTTCGTGGGTTCCAGCCCCACGTGGGGCTCCGTACTGACAGTGGGGAGCCTACCTGGGATTCTCTCTCTCTCTCTCTCTCTCTCCCTCGTTCTGCCCCTGCCTGACTCAAGCTTTCTCTCTCTAAAAATAAATAAATAAACTTAAAAAAATTACAGAGGAAGCTTAAATGCATGTTACTAAGTAGAAGAAGCCAATCTGAAAAGGCTACCTACTATGATTTTGACTACATGACATTTTGGAGAAGCTGAAACTCTGAAGACTGTAAAAAGATCAGTGGTTGTCAGGAGTTATGGGGAGGGAAGGATGAGTAGGTGGAGCACAGAGAATTCTTGGGACAGTGAAGCTACTCTATATATTACACATTTGTCAGGACCCATAGGATGAATGGCATCAAGGGAGAACCCTAATGTCAACAATGGACGTTGGGTGATGCTGATGTGTTAATGTAGGTCCGACGTATCATGTATGTTATAAACAAATGTACCACTTTGGTGGGGGATGTTGATAATGGGGCAGGCTGTGTGTATGTGTTGTGGGGGGCAGAAGGATGTGAGAGTTCTGTATTTTCTGCTCGATTTTGCTGTGAACCTAACTGCTCTAAATAATGAAAGTCTACTTTAAAAATGTAATATATGGAGGAAGTTACCTGGGTGGCTCAGTAGGTTGAGCATCTTGAGCTTTGGCTTAGGTCCTGATCTCGCAGTTCATGGGATGGAGCCCTGTGTTGAGGATTCTCTCTTCCTCTTAAGGCCCTCTCTCTTCCTCTCCCTTTGCCCCTCTCCCCTGCTTGCATGCACACTCTCTCTCTCAAACAAACAAACAAAAATGTATTCTATGGGAAGAAGAAGAGAGAGCCAGAAATCCATATTTACTAAGGATTTAGACAGATGCGAGACAGTGTTTGGAGGTTTTCATATATTATCTCATTTAATCCTTCTATCACCACCAAAGGGTAGATGCTATTATTCCTATTTTATAGATAAGAAAACAGAGGCACACAGAGGCTCAGAGAGATCACGTGACTTTCCATCATCTTCCAGCTTCCAGTGCCAGTGCTTGAATTCAAACAGAAGTTTTTGTGACTCCAAAACATTTAATTCATTAAAAGAACTTTAGGACACAGGTGCCACATAACTGCTCCAAGTACACATGGCACTTTAAGTAAACCCCACAGGTAAAATATCCAGATCTGAGTTCCTAATCCAACTGTGCCTGAAACCTGATCCATCCCTGTATTTTCCAATTATTGAGCCTGAAATTCCCAGTTTTGATGAAATGATTTTGAGTTCGTTTTTGTCACTTGCTTAAAAAGAAGCTGATTCATTCTACTCTCCGTAAGCTGATGAACATGAGAAAATCCAAACTATTACATCTTAAGCCACTGAGAGGGACAGCATGAATAAAGTAACATTCTCATATCCTAAAACAGCTTGAATAATAGACATTTAAAAAAATTCCAATCCTCTCTTCTCCTAATGTGGACACATGACTATTCGAAATGGAAAAAGAACACCTTTCTAGAAGGCAGGATGGAGTAACTAACTGTCCGGTGGCTGATGGCAGTGTCTTCCTCTGGTTCCAGAGTGGGGGTGGGGCTCTGGGTGCCGTGGATCCTAGAACTCGCTCTTCTTCACATCTGCATGTTTAAGTGAATTCCTGTCTTACGGTCCTCATTTCTAAACTGTAGGTGATAAAGGCCACCCTCCCTATCAGCAAATGAGATAGGGGCGCCTGAGTGGCTCAGTTGGTTAAGCATCTGACCTTGGCTCAGGTCAGGATCTCACAGTTGGTGAGTTGGAGCCCCGTGCTGGGCTCTGTGCTGATAGCTGAGCCCGCTTCAGATCCTCCTGTTCCCCCCTTTCTCTGCCCCTCCCCTGCTTGTTCCAAAAATAAATAAACACTAAAAAAAAAAAAAAAAAAAAAAAGCAAATGAGATAAAGTGGTTTACAAAGCACAAAGGGCATATTCCACTCACTCAGTGAATGGGGGAACACCCATATTCCATATTCTTTCATTCCACACACGTTTTTCTTTTCTATTTGGAGACTGCCACTTCATCTTTACAGTAATAGCCACGCTGCTGTTTTGTGATTTATGTACCTTCTTTTATAGATAATAATTTCCACTCTGCAGTTGATGGTACCAATTAAGGGGTTACCCTGGACTCACCCACACTGTAGGAAAGGAGAACAGATCCGACACACGAGTAAACAATTCCACCAGGAGGTATGATTTCTGCATCTGGGTTGTGAAATTACCTTACAAATAAAAACTAGGGTGCCTGGGGGGTTTAGTCGGTTAAGCGTCCAACTCTTGATTTCAGCTCAGTTCTCACAGTTCGTGGGGTCAAGCCCTGTGCACGTGAGGAGGTGCACTGACAGCACAGAGCCTGCTTGGGATTCTCTCTCTCTCCCTCTCTCTACCCCTCCCCTGCTCGTGCTCTCATCCTCTCTCTCTCAAAATAAATAAATAAACATTTTATAAATAAAAATAAAAAATACACGAATCAGGTATTATCTGTGTGCCAGCGGTTTTAAACGTGCAAGGCGCTTTGCAGATATCCATTCCACTTAAATTTCACGGAATGAGGTAGAAACTATTATTAGCCCCATTTTACAGATGAGAAAACTGAGGTGTAGACAGCTTAAGTAAATTCTCCAGGGTTAGACATTTATAAAGTGGCAGAGGTGGGACTGCTGCCCAAGAAGTGCTCATTTTGGCACTGAGCGGCCACCACGTCTGCTGCTGTAACTCACGACAGGTTGGCTGTGGTAGGTGGGTGCTCATCCGACCACCAGGACTCACTTTTGATGAGCCATTTGCCTCCTCACCTATCAAATGAGGCAAGGAGACCAAAGAACTTCCGAAAACACTTACAAAAAACATCTTCTGTGGTGTCCTTGTGGTTGAACCAAGCCCTAGAGGAGATGTTCAGTTCAAGAGCTCTTGGCCCTCACCCTCCTGTTTCCTCCAGGGCCCCATGGGGTACGGAAAAGCACAGTCGGACCGCCACTGACCCGCACTGTCCCCTGAGGAGGCTGACACCTACCGATGTAAGCTGCGCCGTCTGTCACCATGTACTTGTTGCGATTTAACTTAGGAAAGGCGTGATCTTTTTGTTCTTTTGTAGCACAAACATTCTCTCTCTCCAGATCAAAAAACTTCTGTAAGACACAAAAATAAACCCATTCGTAAAGCAGGTGAATAGACAACATTTTTGGCTTTGTGCAAGAGCACAAGAGCGTGTCTTATCCAAACAGCCGCAGCAGACCTCATACTGGGTTATTAAAGCCACAATCTTGTTTCTTCATATAGAGGAAGCTATTTTTGTTCTCAAGCCTATATGGGCAAGAGAGAAAATTAGCGTGCTCAACTAGGTCTATAATGAACGCTTTGAAGCTGCAAAATGAACACAAAATTCATTCTTTCACCAGGGCGAGGGCCAGACGTTGGTTTAATTCTCATTGTCATATTCATCAGGGTGCAGCAGCATCTGAGGTCGGCCTCAGGGCACTTTCTGTCATGCACACCGATGAACTGAATGAATATTCCTCTGTGTTGCATACATTATAAGAAGCAGTAGGCTCGTGGCAATGACTAGCTGATTAAGCTGGGGATTTGCAAAGGTCAAAACAGATTTTTGCCAAAGGAACAAATATTTTCCATCTAAACACCTAGGTCTACAAGCTCTTTTAATAAGCAAGTCAAAAAAAAAAAATCATTTCAACCCAGGAATCCTGAATTTCAACTTTAATGTGACCCGAAAAGCACCTGAGGCCCGGGATGTGGGGGCTGACAGTGGGGGTAGGCGGGCTGGTGCCTCTGGAATCTGCTGGAACTGGTAGCTGCTTAGATGAGGACTGAACTGTGACAGAGCTCACAGAATACACACCATCAAAGGTGAGGTCTCAGATCTCCTCCACGCCAGAAAAGGCTGAGCATTTTCAGCACTGTGTGTGGAATCTTCCTGGATTGAATGTCTTACGGCTGTGGGATCATGCGTGTTTGAAGGAAAGAGGCAGAGAGAAAAATGAGATGCTACCTAGAAATGGAGACATCATTTAGTTTGAAACCTGTAACTGTCTGGGGCTCCTGGGTGGCTCAGTCCGTTAAGCACCTGACTCTTGGTTTCGGCTCAGGTCATGATCTCACAGTTTGTGAGTTTGAACCTCGCATCGGGCTCTGCAACTGTCAGTGTGGAGCCTGCTTGGGATTCTCTCTCTCTCCCTCTCTCTGCCCCTCTCACTCTATCAAAGTAACTAAACTAAACTGAACTAAACGGAACAAAACGAAAACTGTAAGTGTTCAAGTTTGGCTTGGGGAAACAATGAGGATTGGTCTTCCCCTTTGCCCAAGGGTGAGAAAGGAGTGATAAACTGGAGGATCACCAAGGTCCCCTGCAGCCCTTGAAAATTCTATTCTGATTTTCTGCAGATTCCTTGAGATCAATGGTGCACAGGCCAAAATCTACTCCCCAAGAACTGTCACTTGCACATCACAGAGGACAGTGTTACCTGGGGCCACATTACCATGATGATAGGTAATGCTGCATCAGTTCCCTTTCTTCCCAGTTCCTGTCTCCTGCAAAATCTGTGTCATTTGGAGGGCTCACATATAGCCACGTTTTGTGGACTCTTCCCATGGACTTGATTACCTGTGAATGCTCTTAAGTCATAGTTATATATCTGTGAGGTCCTGTGTTACCCACCTGTCATTCAGTAAGAGCAGTCACCCTGCTCAGACATTCTATCACAACACATGTCCACACACTCTACTGCCTCCTTTTGAGGAAAATATTATTGTGGAATCACAATGGATGTAAAAAAGAACAAAATATATATCCTAATTTAAGTTGGGGATGTCATCACTGCTTGAGGCTCTACGGATAACCCATTTGCTCTAGAAAGCTGAAGATGCCCAAAAGAGGGAGACAGCTTTATCTGGGAGACTAAAGTGGCAGCAGAAATCATACTGTATTCACTGACATACTACTAAACACCTAATATGCTGTAGGTGACAGCAAAGACTTTTCAAAAGTGATTTACTTTTTAAATGTTTTTCAAAGTTTATTTATTGAGAGAGAGAGAGAGAGGGAGAGAGAGAGAGAGAGAGAGAGAGAGAGAGGCAGTGAGACAGGGAGAGAGAGAATCCCAAGCAGATTCCACAATGTAAGTGTAGAGTCCAATGCAGGGCTTGATCCCATGAATGGTGAGATCATGACCTAAGCCGAAATCAAGAGTCAGACACTTAACCGACTGATCCACCCAGGAACCCCAAAAGTGATTTATGAACTTATTAAAAAATAAAAGCCTAGCTGACAGGGGCAATTCTGTGAATGCAGTCTGTTTCCCATGAGTCCCCTCATGGACATAAATCCCCCCAAGCCAAGGATAGGGGTGCCCACTCCTCCGAGGAGAGAGATTCCCTGCCTCACTCCCAGGCAGTTGTCTGCTTTATCAGGGCTTAAAGACTCCAGAAGACATGCTTCACTCAAGGTTCCAATGCCCACTTGTCTTGGAAAAGCTCTCACCCATCTGTGTTCTAGATGTAGGGGCCGCAGGCTTCATTCCCACCCAGGCTTATCTTGATGCTTAGAAGTGCAGGGCCTGGCTTCCATGAGGACCAGAGTCTCTGTTTCATGAAACGTCCAATGGTGAACTATTAATGTTTGGTTCATTCAAGTAATGAGACCATGAGTGTTTGCAAAGACGGAGCTAAGTAGAGAATAAAATAATGGATTCTACTTTCCTTGTAATTTCTTGCAAGTCTTAAATGAGAGCACTAATTTCATGATGGAGATTTCAACTGACAATGGCTTAGAGAAGAGATAGGAGCAAATGCACCATGTGTGATGGGCCCCAGACATTTTCCCCTCTGCTTCTGCTTGTATTAGTCATATCTTCTTATTTTCTGTATTCAGATGCTTTGACATTTGGGTCCTGCTGAGCCTGGAGGGATTGCCCTTCTGAGGGCTGGCTAATTCCTAGAGATAGCAAACAACTTGCCTGTGAGCACACTTCTCATATGTAAACCAAACAGTCCAGGGACCATACCCAGAACCACCTCCTTTATGGGCTCTCACACTCTGGGTCACTATCCGTCTGCTCTAATCACCCCAGGGTCAGGTACCAGGAAATCAGGGACAGCTCCTAGGCCCAAGGGCCCACTGAAATTATTCAAACTTGCCGATCCTAAATTGGCTTACCCTGCTTGCTTGTTCCACCACCACGTAAACCAAACAAAGGCCCTTGCCCATGTTTCCCCTCACTCCTGCCTTATGCCCCCTTCTCTTGAGATCTATGGATAAAACAAACTATTTTTGCAATGGCTGTTGTCTTCTGATCCATTGATGTTGTCACACCTCAATCATAATTAAAGTTATATTTTAAAACACTGTGATATCTGGTAAGTCTGATTATGGTACCCCTCTAAGTGCAAGCATACTGTACTCTGAGTAAATGACTTCCCCCAAAAGATTCTTCACCCCTCTCCAAGCACATCCCCCGTTTGAGAAAATGGCAAAAATGACTCCACATCCACCATGTCTTGGACATGGGCTGTGTTCCCTCCACTCAGTGGTTCCCATAGAGCCTTCCTAAACCATCAGCTCCCTTTTTTATTTCATCCATCCATCCATCCATCCATCCATGCATTCCACATATATGCTTTGAGTGCTTTGTGCCAGCATCATGCTAGGCCCTGGGAATACGATGGTGAACCTATTCACTGCCATGCAGCCTCACATGCCACTTCGGTTATCTGGAAAATGCTATCCCTGCAGATGAAACAATCCCCAGAATTCTCTTGTCCATGGAAAGGTACTGAACACAAACTGACTCTATTCTCCTGGTTCTCTGCCTGGCTTCCTGGGTCCATCCAGTGTTTCCTATAATCCCTGATATCTGATTCCAAACTAAAGTTGGTGCCCTGATGCAACTCCTGGTTATCACACTCATTTGCAAACCTGGCACGGAAAATAGACCTACAGTAGTAATCACAGACCTGTTGTTATTTCCATTTTATCGAGAAGTAATTGACGTCTATCACTGCATAAATTTTAGTTGTACAGCATGATGTTTTGATTTACATATATTGTGAATGATGATTGCAATAGGTGCAGCTAACAGCCATCTTCTCATACATTGTATCATACAGATACAATACAAAGAAAAGAAAAGAAAAGAAAAGAAAAGAAAAGAAAAGAAAAGAAAAGAATGAAGAAATTTTTTTTTTCTCTTTGTGATGAGGACGCTTTGGATTGATTTCCTTGACAACTTTCCTACGTATCCTACAGCAGCATTAGCAGAAGTCATCACGTTGTACATTATATCCCTAGTACTTATCTTGTAACTGGAAGTTTGTACCCTTTGACCACCTTGCTTCAATTCCCCCGCCTCTCACCCTCCCCCCCCCACCTCTGGTTACCACAAGTCTGATCTCTTTTTCTATGACTTTGTGTGTGTGTGTTTTAATTTTAGATTCCACATACAATTGGTATCATACAGTATTTGTCCTTCTTTGCCTGACTTATTTCACTTAGAATAATGCCTTCAACGCCCATCTATGTTGTCACAAATGGTAGTATTTCCTCATTTTTATGGCTGAATAATATCCCATTGTATATATATACCACAACTTCTTTATCCATTCATCCACTAACGGGCACATAGGTTGTTTCTGCGTCTTGGCTACTGTGAATATTGCTGCTATGAACATGAAGATGCAGATACACTTTTGAGTTAGTGTTTTGGTTTCTTTGGGATATACTTCCATAAGTAGAATTACTAAATCACATGATAGTTCTATTTTTAATTTGTAAAGGATGTTTCATACTGTTTTCCATGGTAGCTATACCAATTTAAATTCCTACCATGAATTCCCTTTTCTCCACATACTCACCAGCATTTGTTACCTCTTGTCTTTTTGGTGATGGCCATTCTAAAAGGCATGCTGTGGTATCTAATAGTGGTTTTAATTTGCATTTCCCTAATGACTGGTAATGTTGAGCATCTTTTCATGTACCTGTTGGCCTTCTGTCTATCTTCTTTGGAGAAATGTCTATTCAGCTCCTTTGCCCATCTTTAAATTGGGTTATTTGCTATCGAGTCATATGAGTTCTTGATGTATTTTGGCTATTAACCCCTTATCAGATATGTGGTGTGCCAATATTTCCCCCCCTTCCATAAGTTGTTTTTTCACATTGTTGATGGTTTCTTTTCTTGGCAGAAGCTTTTTAGTTTGATGTAATCCCATTTGCTTATATTTATTTTTGATTTTGTTGCTTGTACTGTAGAGGTCCTATCCAAAAAATTATTACCCTAATCCATGTCAAGAAGCTTTGTTTCTGTGTTTTCTTCTAGTAATTTCATGGTTTCAGGTCTTACATTTATGTATTTAATCCGTTTTGTGTTACTTTTTATGAGTGGTGTATGATATGGGTCCAGTTTTATTCTTTTACATGTGAATATCCAGTTATCTCAGTACCATATATTGACAAGGTTGTCTTTTCTCCATTGAGTATTCTTGGCTCCCTTGGCTGTGTATGCTTGGGTTTATTTCTGGTCTCTTGATTCTATTCCATTGGTCTATTTGTCTGTTTTTATGCCAGTACCATATTTGATGACCATAGCTTATTATAGTATAGCCTGAAATCAGAAAATGTTATAATTCCTTCTTTGTTCTTCTTTCTCAAGATTTCTTTGGCTATTCAGGTTCTTTTGCAGTTTCATATAAATTTTTCAGTGTTTTTTCTACTTTCTACATCTAAAGGATGCCATTGGAGTCTTGATAGTATTGCATTGAATCTATAGATAGATTTCGGTTGTATTGACATTTTAACAATATTACTTTTTCTAATATCTTTCCATTGTTTTGTGTTGTCTTTGATTTATTTCATAAATACCTTAGAGTTTTCAGTGTAGAGATTATTCACCTCCTTAGTTAAATTTATTCCTAAGTATTTTATTGTTTTTAATACTAGTGTATATGGGATCCATTTCTTTATTTCCCTTTCAGAAATTTCATTGTTAGTGTATAGAAACACTACTGATTTTTGTGTGTTAATTTTGTATTTCTGTAACTTTGCAGAATTCATTGATTAAATATAACATTTTTTTTCTTTTGGCTGAGTCTTTAAGATTTTCTATATATAAAGTCATGTTGTCTGCAAACTGACAATTTTGCTTCTTCCTTTTCAATTCTGATCCTTTTTATTTCTTTTTCTTGCCTGATTGCTCTGGCTAGGACTTCCAGTACTATGTTGAATGGGAGTGGTAAAAATGGGAACCCTTGTCTTGTCTCTGATCTTAAAGGAAAACTTTTCATCATTGAGTATGATGTTAGCTGTAGGTTTCATAGACCTGTTTCTACTTCTAATACTTATTTGTGAACTCAGACATGTGCATGGCTACCTCAGTTTATAAAAACCAGTAAAATGGAAATAAAAATTTCTATTTTATCAATATTACCAGAATGTTAGGAAGATTAAAACAAAATATATGTGGGAAGCATGCTTTTTTTTTGAAATTTATAGTAAATTCTGGAATTTTATGTCTTTAAATTGTTGATAGTTTCAACTTTTAAAAATATTTAATGGCATGATTGAGTTAAAAAACATCTTATCTGATATTTTTGTTGATCCTCAGAGATACATCAGTCAGATGAGTAGCCTCTCAGGTCTTCAAGCAGATATAAATATGATGTTTTTAATATAGGTAGGAAAGACAAAAAAATCTTTATAACTTCAATTATTTGTTCTACTTGCTGACCATACAGTATGAGGTTTAAGAGCCCAGTCTCTGGAGTTAGAAAGACTTGTATTTGAATCTCTCTCCACTATTAACTAGTGTCCTGGAGAGAAATTATTTAATTTCTTCAGGCTTCACTCTCAATGTATGTACAATGGGAAAATTTCCCACTTCATAGTGTGGTTATGAAGATTAAATAGTACATACAAAGTATTTAATGCAGCGCCTGTCTAAATGTCTATACTCATGAATATAACCAATTCCTTCATTTGTTTAAAAAAATATTAAGCACTCACTACATCCAGGCAACGTGACGTGAGATGCTGCCATAACGGCAGCAATAAAAACTTAATAAAAGATGGGGCAATGGTTTATCCCATGGGCAGCAGGCAGCAAGGAAATTGGTATTGCAGGATGGAAATAATGGAGACCCATGTTAATGCAGTGGAAAAATACTTGGTAAGACCGTAACCTGCACTGATTTAGAAGGAAGACTAAGCACCCCCAAACCTTTGGCTACAGGGCAACGGATGGGAAAACAAATTGTTAACAGTGTATATGGGTCATTACTAGTGCTTTTAGGAAGTTAGTAGAGGAGATAAATGAGCTCAGAGATGGATTTGCTGGCTCGCAAGCACATATGGAAGGGAACAGCTACGCTAGAAATATGGTATTTCAAAGGGCTGGAAAAACTGTGCTGGGAGCCCAATAGTAGAAAAGAAATTTGAAGAATGCTTTAAGTGGTTGAGTTAAGACTCATTTACGGGGACACACAGGTAGCTCAGTCGGTTAAACCTCTGACTTCAGCTTAGGTCATGATCTCACGGTCTGTGAGTTCAAGCCCTGCATCAGGCTCTGTGCTGACAGCTCAGAGCCTGGAGCCTGCTTCAATTCTGTCTCCCTCTCTCTGTGCTCCAACCCCCCATCACTCTCTCTCTCTCTCTCTCTCTCTCAAAAAAAAAAAAGAGACTCATTTCTGCAGCAAAGATCAGATAACTGAAGTAATCATAATTGGTATAATCTTCCTACCCAAGTCTGATGACCTGAATGAAGCCACCGTTAATAAGAAGAGACAGAAGGGGGGAGGGGAGAGGAAGAGGAAGGCTGAGGCAGAGGTATATGGGAAAGGAAGCATGATTAGTGAAGTTTGGGAATTATGTACAACAAAATCTTTGGTTGTGGCTACTGGTACTTGGAAATGACTAGAAGCAAACAAATCAGAAGCCTATTATGTTTCTGAGAAAATTGCATTGCCAGAGAAACCATGAGCTAGAACCAAAACCTCCTTTAACTGTTCACGCTGAAAACAACCTTGGGAGCTGGCACAGGAGGACTTCACTGTACCTGCCCAGAAGGATTTTACGATCACTTGGACCAGTGACTGCTGAGTGTCCTCTCCTGAATGGGAGTTTTTACTGTCCTTCTCCTGTTCCTGTTATGTGGGGAGGAGGAAACTTCAACCTGGGTCTTGGGTCTCGTAGGAGACTGTTGTTTTGTTTTTAGTTTCTGTTTATTGAACTATGAAATGCCATATCCAGATTTGCTGTCCAGTCCTGCACATCACTAGGAGGTCCTGAACTTTGAGCTGTGCAAAGCCACACTCATAAGCTGTCTCTGCCACTGAATGTGGACAGGTGAGTGACTTCTGAGCAGCAGAATGAAGGCTAAAGGGATGTTCACCACCTCCAGGTCTAACCCATAAATGTCTCCTGGGAAGCCCTCCAGTCTCTCTCTCCTTCTGATCGACCTTGGGATGTTGAGGCTCAGGACTATCTTGGAAGGTATGTGTCAGAGTGGATGGTGGTGCCCCTGTCATCTTGGGTCCTTAAATGCTGCATGGAGCACAGACCCATCACCTAGAAGGGTGCCTGGCAGAAAGTAGGATCTTGGGGTATATATTTTTAATGTTTATTTATTTATTTTGAAGGAAAGAGAGAGAGTAAGCAGGGGAGGGGCAGAGAGAGAGGGATAGAGAATCCCAAGGGAACTCCTCACCATCAGCACAGAGCCTGATGCAGGACTTGAACCCGCAAACTGTGAGATCATGCCCCGGGCCAAAATCATTAATAAGATGTTTAACTGAGTGAGCCACCCAGGCACCCCTCTCAGGGTACTTTTGCTGAATGACTGCAGTGGAGGCTGGAAAATGTAAGCCCTAAAGGACTAGAGGGCATTAGTCAGATAAAGCATGGAGGAGAAGAGTGTTATGGGCAGAGGGAACAGCATGTACAAAGGCCCTGAGGTGAGGAAGAGGAAGTCACAGGTAAGGACCCAAGGAAAGTCAAACATGAGCTAGGGAGTTACCACACTGAAAGTAATACCAATTCCCAATCTTGCCCCGCTCAGAGTAGGCGGATATGGATTAACATGTGGCCCCCGGGGGCTGGAACAAGGGCAGGAGCTAAGCCAGGGGCACGTTGGGGCTGGGGGAGGCTGTGCAGGTGCATGTGACCTCACTGAGGTCATGGCCTTAGGAACTGGAATGGCAGGCAGCAGAACGAGGCAGACCCAACAAAGTGGAGAGGACACCACGGGCAGTGTATAAAAACAGGGCAGGGCCAGGAGGCAGCAGGAAATGTGGGATCCAGGCTCCTTTTCTCGAGAGTGTTTGTCTTGAAACATTACTTATCCTACTTCTGAAGTGCTTTTTCACTATCAGAGACTGTTATCCTGGTTCTTACTTGGCAGTTCACATGAGTGCAAATGCTCATAGCTTTCACAGATGTGCAGAGGGAATCAGCCCTTTTTATTTAATAATACGTAAGCCAATGTCATACTTACAACTTTCAAACTGCAGTTGGCTATTTCAGTGCAAATAGCCTTAAGAGATGAAATAAAGTTAAACGTAAGGGGGTCTGTTTCCTTCCAGAAGCTTATCAGGAGTCGGACTTTAACGCTTCGCAAAACTAAGGCTTCTCTGATTTTCCCATCCAAGTCTGGCCAGTAAGTCCTGCAGAAATAATACCCATGTGGATAAAAACAAAGAAAATAAGTTAGCTGGGGGAAAGTAATATACTAGACTACAAAGAACATTTATATATTAACCCAATCGTTAACTGCTTTCTGTAAATAACTTGATTGGATATTTGGAGAGAGGCTTTACTGGGTCCTGCCCCTGCCTAAAACGTGTTCGCCCACCAGCAGGGCCTCAGGGTGTGTGTGCGGAGTATGCGGACAGGTTGGCCTCGACCGTGTGCTACCCTGGCCACACTTGCACCCACCTCCAGCTGGACCTTAGCTCATACGTGTGCAAAGAATCAACTGTCCAACAGAGTTCCAGTTCGGAGCCTCGAGCACCTCTTTGGTCCCCAAATGCTGCCTGAACCCCTCTTCTTTGGAAACTGCCCCCCAAATGAGCTTCTGCTCTGGTCATCCCCTTACTCTTACTTCCAGTTGCCTTCCTCTCTCCTGACCAAGCCCCCAGCTACTCTGGCCCTTGGACTCCTCCATCAGGCAAACGGTTTCTCCTGGAGGCTCAGCCTCTTCCCTCAATCCTTAGTCTTCTGCCTTAATTAAATCCTGACCAGAGACTCTCCAGAAGTCTGGCCATGTATTTTTCTACGAGAGTTTGCCCACTTAGTGTAAGAAGTGGGGTCAGCCCCCCACCAACACACACAATGTCACTTCCAGAACTGTCATTCAATTCTCATTTAAGAAGGAAAAACAACAAATGTTTCCTTCGGAAGGATAAGCCCCGAATCTCTGTCTCCCCTCGGCCCTGACAAACCTTGTTTGTTCACTTGTTCACATCTTCCCCTAGATCCAGGCCAACTCAGTTTGGACTAGTAAAGTATTATTCAAAACATTAGCCTGTTGGCCTCATGATCACTGCACCTCCAAAGTTCTCCTCTTTATATTGGACTGGCTGCGGTTCTACAGCATCCCATACTCTGGGAAATCCTCACTGACCATGTTCTTGCCCTGCGTGGGCCCAGCCTGGTGACCCTCTCACTCTCCTGCTCTATCTGCTTTGGGTCCCCTTTCTGGCCCAGCCTAACCTCAGTGCCGATTGCCTGAAGGACACCTGCCCTGATCCTTCCTCTTAGCTCTTGGTAGCATCTAAATCCTGGCTCAGAGCCTCACCTAGCCACACACATTAGTCTATTTCAATGGTCACAAAGCCGAGGATTACTGAACAAAGTCAGTTCAGCCTGTGAAGCTGAAGCCAGCACAAGCCCATCAGGGCCTTCACTACCATCCAGCACCCCTGTCCTTGCCTTGGGCGGTTCTGCCTCCCAGACCTTTCCGTCATTACTCTAAGCTGTACCCCACTCGAGCTAAATTTGTTGCTTCCTCTGTCCACAAAAATGGAGCTTCTCAGTCATGGTGTCCCTCAGATTTCCACCCTTGAGAGCCTCATACATCCTTCTCCCCTTCCTTCTGGCTTAGAGGATAAGGCAACCTTGTTCAGGGTCAGACCTGTACCACTCTGCCTCTTGGGCTGGTCCCCTGACCCTCTGCAGCTGTGTTTCACCGGTCATTCCTTCCTGAAGACAGTCTCAACTCCCCCACCTCCCCACCTTTCTTGTAGTTTGAGAACAAAATGTAAATCTCATCCATTCAGAGAAAATTTCCCTGACTCTGTATCACTCTGTGGCTGGTGCACAATCTCTTCTTTTTTGAACAAATCTATCATCTATCTATCTATCTATCTATCTATCTATCTATCAATCATCTATCTATCTATCTATCTATCTATCTATCATCTATCTATATTTGAGTATAGTTGACACACAATGTTACATTAGTTTCAGGCGTACAATGTAGTGATTCAACATCTGTATGTGATGCTGTGTTCACCACGGTGACCTGCCATCTGTCCCCACACAACACTGTTACACCATCCCTGAGGACATTCCCTATGCTGTGCCATTCATCCTTGTGACTTACTCATTGCACCACTGGAGGTCTGGATCTTCCTCTGTCCTTCACCCATTTTGTCCCTCCCCTGCCCCTCCCCACTGGCAACCGTCAGTTTTCTCTCTGTATTTCTGGGTCTGTTTCCACTTTTTTTTTTTGAACATAACTTCTTGACAGTGTAATCTAGAACATCTGACTTGACTTCATCACCCCTGCTCACTTCTCAGCCTCTTGCCCCCCTGGCCTCCAGCTTGCCATTCTGCAAATCTCCAAGTCAGCAGGGATAGGCCAACTGCCACATCTAATGGATATCATTCAATTCTTATTTTAGTCAGTCTATGTCACATGCAGCTCTGTTGATGGTTTCTTCCTTCTTGATGACTAATTCCATTGGCTTCCGTGACCCTGTGGTTTGATGGTCCGTCCCCTATCTCTCAGAATGCCTCTTTGTCTCTTCTATGGTCAATGTTCCCATCCTATTCCATCACCACCCTCTGTTCTCCTCACTGTATATGCCAACCCCTTGGTGGCTTCATTTATGTACCTGATTTCAACTGTCCTCTATAATCTGAAAAGCTCCAAATCCGAATCACCAGGCTAACCCTCTTCAGACTTCGTTGTGAATATCTTCGTAAGATCTTTACTGATCTGGACCTTCACAAGAACCTCAAATTCACAAGTCTGCTTACTTCCTTATATTTTTCGTAGCCTCCACTTTGCACAATGTTCATCCTCTAATCACCCAAGGTAAAAACTCGGCAATAATTCTTACATCTGCTCTCCTTTTTACCATTCACCATGTATTTCAAAAATATTCTTGGCAAGTACGTCCTTTATTCTGTCCTTCCTATCCCTCATTAACCCTGACCTGGGCCACTATAACAGCTCCAAGGTGGTTTCTCTGCCTCCAGTCTTGTCCCTGTCAAGTACATCTTCCATGACCACCAAAGGGATCTGTCTAAAAGCATATCTCCCTTGATTAAAACATAACGGACGCTTTCCAAAGTGACAAGATCCTCTCACAGTTAGGCCTTCCCGTTCCTGGTCCCTGCCTTTCCTCCAAGTGGATCTCACAGGACCTTACCTCGGGTTCTGTGTTCCAGCACTGAACTTGACTGAACTTGTGACAGACCCTGCCATGTGCTAGGCTATTTGTCTCCACCTGAAACTTGGCTCATGCTATCCCTTCTACCTGGAAAACTCCCTTTTTGTCCTTTTTTTCTAAGTCCTGCCTATTTTAATTTTTTTTTAATGTTTATTTTTGAGAAAGAGAGAGACAGAGTGCCAGTGGGGGAGGGGCAGAGAGAGAGGGAGACACAGAATGCGAAGCAGGCTCCAGGCTCTGAGCTGTCAGCACAGAGCCCGATGCGGGGCTCGAACCCACGAACCGCGAGACCATGACCTGAGCTGAAGTCGGACACCCAACTGACTGAGCCACCCAGGCACCCCACTCCTGCCTATTTTAAAATGTAATTAAGGTAGCATTTCCTCCAATAAGCCTCTTTTAACTTTGAAACTGCCACAAATGCTCTTTCATTGAGGACCTATACTATTTTGTACATATATTTATTATTCCGTTCACCACATTGTTATGATCATCTAGTCTGTGTCCGTTTGCCGTATTGGATGGAGTTCCTGAGACCATACACTGCTGATACTTGAATCACTCCTGCACAGTGCCCAATAAATATTAGTTGAATGAAAACATAAATGAAAAATGTTAATAGCTCACAGACTAATCAGCCTACTTTTTTTTTTTTTAATGTTTATTGATTTTTTGAGAGAGAGAGAGAGAGCATGAGTGTGCAAGCTGGGGAGGGGCAGAGAGAGAGACAGAAAGACAAGATCTGCAGTGGGCTCTGTGCTGAGAGCAGAGGGGCCCAAACTCACCACCTGCAAGATCATGACCTGAGCCAAAGTTGGACATTACCCGACTGAGCCACCCAGGTGCCCCAGCCTACTTTTTTTTTCTTATTGAATAAATTTGATGTGCAACATTTTGTAAATTTAATAAGATGTATAGCATCTTACTTTGATACATTTTTACATTGTAACATGGTTGCCAATGCACTGATATTTACCATATTTACACAATTGCAGTGTAATATTGTTGCCTGTATTCATTATACAGTACATTAAATCTCCATGGCCTATTTACTATTCATTACAAGTTTGCAGCCTTAAACACCATCACTCCTATTGCTCACCCCCATCTCCTGGTAACCAACACTGTACTGTCTGTTTTCTACACTTTTCTAGATTCCATGTATAAGTGGGATCATACAGTACTTGTGTTTCTCTGTCTGACTTTTCTCACTTAGCATAATGTGCTCAAGGTCCATCCACATTGGTGCAAAAGGAAGGATATTCTCCTTTCTCATGGCTGAGTAATATTCCATTGTGTATATGCACCACGTCTTTTCATCCATTCATCTGTTGATAGGCATTTGTGTTGTTTCCATTATGAATTCTGTTTTCATTTCCTTTGCTTAAACACCCAGATGTTGGAATTGCTGGATCGTATGGTAGATTTATTTTAATTTTGGGGGGAACCTCCCTATCGTTTTCCACAGTGATTGGATCAACTTCTCTTTCTTTCAACTGTGTATAAGGGTTCCCTTTTCACTATATCCTCATCAGCACCTACTGTCTCTTGTCTTCTTGAGGAATCATTGTAACAGGTGTGAGGTGGTATCTCATCATTGTTTTTTTTTTAATTTTTTTTAACGTTTTATTTTATTTTTGAGACGGGGAGAGACAGAGCATGAACAGGGGAGGGTCAGAGAGAGGGAGACACAGAATCTGAAACAGGCTCCAGACTCTGAGCTGTCAGGACAGAGCCTGACGTGGGGCTCGAACTCATGGACCGCGAGATCATGACCTGAGCCGAAGTCGGCCGCCCAACCAACGGAGCCACCCAGGTGCCCCTCTCATCATTGTTTTGATTTGCCTTTACCTCATGATGAGTGATATTGAACATCTTTTCATGTGTCTGTTGGCCATTTTGATGTCCTCTTTGGAGAATGTTATTAGTTCTTTTGCCCATTTGTAATCAGACTATTTGCTTTTTTTAAAAAATTGAGTTGAATG